AGATAATGAACATCAACTAAAGACAATGTTTTGACACTTGAGATGATATATCAATCACCAAACAAACATTTCCCCTCCCCACCCATCAGTGCTTGGGGTGTTGATAATGGCCGTCACTACCCTTCCACAGGCCCACTGCATTCCAAAGCAACTGGACTTTGACTTTCTCTTTCCCCATCCCCCGCATTGTTTGTCTACAACTGCACTGACCTCTCACGGCCGCACGCAACTCTCACTGATCACGTGAAATAAATAACCAGTATTTTAGATGCTTCCGCATAATTGGGAAAGTTAGTTGAAAATTCTAACTGATAGAAGTTATTAGTTAGTTAATTTAAAAACAAACGAATAAAATAGAAGTTAGCCAAAAAAACTAATGAATAGTGCTATTCGATAAAATTTCTATTCGTTATTCCCAAGTATGTCATTTTCCCCTTCCAGAAACTGATGAGAACCTTTCTGCGAAGGAGTGGGGGATTGTGGGAGAGCCCCTCATGTCAATTTAAGAAAATATTTCAATTTATTTCATAATATTTTAGTTAGAAAATTACTTTTTAATCGTAAAATTAATTTTTAAATTTTTAATTATAAAATTAAACTGTCATAACCTAACCTAACCAACCAAACTTGCTGGTAATATAAAAAAGATATAAGATAAAAATCGAATAAAAATTTACTAATTTAAAAAAAATAGTTCTGTTCATAAATAAAATTATAAATGCCTCAAATTCTAACAAAAGATGTACTTTTAAGAAATTATTCGCATTCTAAGCAAAAGCTTATACAAAAAGTTAGTGTCGCCGGCGGGATTCGAACTGGGGACCTCCAGATCACAAGTCTATTAACTACGCCACGAACCCCGATGGAATCATATCGTCTCGTTACCGTAATGGTGTTCCCTCTAGAGCAGAGTGACGTCACGCACCCACTCCTTCTCTAAAGAGGTTCTCATCAGTTCCTACACAGAAGGGGAAAACTAGGCACTATCATTGACTATTAATACAGTCAATGGCAATGGCACTATAGTGGAAACGCCTCAGGCTTGCATGCAGTTTATATATCTAAGTACCGGGGGACAGAGACATGGTTTGGTATAGTTGATTTCGATTTTTAAATTAAAATAAAGGAAACTCCAGTATTATTTACAAAACATTTTGACTTAATTATTTAAATTTCAGTGGAATTTCAATTAGTTATGATGAGGAATTTAACCTGGCAATCCACAACACATTAATGTATTTTACAGTCGATGGTAAAAATAATTCATATCCTAGGTGAACTACTATATTTCCCTCTATATAGATTAATCTTCAGTGTATTCTTTGCTCAATAGTAACAACTGATGTTTTCCCTTTGTACTGTTAATTGTTATTTGCTACTATGAAGTAATCAATTTTTCATGTTTTATCACCAAACTAGCTGTACCCGCGGGCTTTGTCCCGTTTAACTTCATAAGTATTAATAAAACTATTGATTGCCGTACCGGGTTGGGTGGTATTTCGAGTGGCTTTTCATGGTTACTCCAAAGAACAACATTGGACCTAATTAGCTGTCAGGAAGTATTTGGGCCCTAGGAGAGTATTAAATTAAAAATGACTATCTCCACTAAGCCTGTGGTTGTATTGGCTCTATTCATGAAAAAATCTGCTCAATTGGTCAAGTCGTCGTCCTGTCCTAATGTGGTTTATGTCAATGCTCTTTAATTTTCAAGATGAGCTCGTTCGCATGGCTAGTTCATTTGCTACGCTTTCTCGCTTACTCTACTCCACCTTTAGGTTGGAGCTCAATCGCTGCGCTCACTTGCCTTCAGGTTAGCTCGTTCGCTACGCTAACTCGCCTCCAGGTTGAAGTTCGTTCGCTACGCTCACTCACCTTTTGGTTGCAAGCTGTTGTCATAAATGTAAAAAAATAATAGTGATGCACCATGTTGGTGAACCTATTAACTCTTTAATGTATTGAACATCACATAATCAACTTGTTTTTGTTGAACCAGCTGAAGATTCTTTAATTGCATAAGTACTCATAAGGTTAACATGGGAAACTCCAGAGCCACTGGAGAGGATCAGAATAAAAACTACTTGTTTTTCTATTTTAATGCCCAAAGAATCGGTGTACCGAATTTCAGCCTCCTAGGTAAATGGGAGGTGGGAGAATTATTAGTGATGAGTGAGTGAGTCGGTGAGGGCTTTGCCTTTTATAAAGTACTACTAGCTGTAACCCGCGGGCTTTGCCCCGTTTAATTTCTTAATTTTCAAGATTATCTCGTTTGCATGGCTCAAACAAGTCCTGGTTGAAGTTTGTTCGCTACGCTCACTCGCCTCCAAGTTGAAGTTCGTTCGCTACGCTCACTCACCTTTTGGTTGCAAATTAGCTGTTGTCATAAATGTCAAAGAAATAATAGTGCTGCACCCTGTTGGTAATCCTTGTAACTTCAATGTTATTGAACATCATAGAACAGAACCAACTTGTTTTATTGAAACAGCTGTTAAGATTCAATAATTCCATTTCTCATAAGGTTAACATGGGAAACTCCAGAGCCACTGGGGCGGAGCCCGAAAGGATTTTTGAAATAAGAATATGCCTATTTGTTAATCGGGAATGTGAGCTATCATCATGCCAAATTTCAGCCCAACCCGACCAGTATTTTTCGCGTTCACTTGTCACAAACATCCAAACTTTCTCATTTATAATATTAGTAGGATATATACATTCCATTCTTTTGCATTGGCAAGATCTATTTTCTATAAAACGAATATGGAAATTGGTTGGTTATCAAATGTTTTTTTACAATTGAATGAAATGTGAAGTGGTGTTAGAGGTAGTTTTTCTATCACAACTCTTTATTCACACCAAAATCATGGGGTTCATGCTTTTAAACATAGTAAAATAAACGTTATCAGCATTCTGACACATACTTTCTCCCATAAGCTTGTCAAAAACCTTTATCATGGGTAAGCTGAGAGTAAATTTTTTTAGTTAAATGAACGGTATCTGTCGCGGAGTTATGAGTTTGTTCTAATTTAGGTAAATATTTATCATGTAGCTCATAAACAAGTAGGTTTATATCGAAAATGCGAAGAGTAAATAATTCAAACAAGTCTTAAAATTGCATCCACATTCCAAAAAGACCATAAAATTCGTTAAAAATATTAATTCTATTATTAAAAAAATTGTGGCCATTTTCCAAAATGGCGGCAAACTTGAAAAGTGGAAAACTGTGTATTTTATGGTCTTATTGGAATGTAGATGGAATTCTAAAGACTTATTCTCTCCGCAATTTTGCTCTACACTTACTCGTTTAGGAGCTACATATGTAAAATGTACACCGGAAGTCATTTTTCCATAGGCTGTAACTCCTAAACGAGTGGGTTTATCGAAAAAATGTCAAGAGTATACAAGTTTTTAAATTGTATGTATGATCCGAAAACATGATAACATATAGGGTGTTCCTTAAGAAATTTCAAAAGTGGCCGCCATTGTGGAAAATGGCGGCTGAATTTCTAAAAACTGAAATCATATTTTTTACTGCCACAAAAAATAAAGGAATGTTCCCCATTTGAAGTTTTCTCTAATTCTTACCGTTCCGATATCCCAATGGTGGCCTTCTTGAGTTGATCACCCTGTATAGATATTTATGTTTATTTATACATAACACATAGGCTATGACATGGAGGGTTGGTTCTTGAACAATGGATTAAAACTTAATCTTGAAAAAACGCAAACAATACAATTTTCTGTCAGAAACAATGGTAACAAAATTGAATCCCTTAAATTTGGTGTCTCATAAATTTCTAGGTGTTTACATACTTTAGATGAATCACTTATATGGGATGTACATCTGAATCAATTAAAAAGTAATGTCAATTGTATTTCTGCATTTAAGGGACTGTGTTCCTATAAGGAAACTCTGAAAATGGTTTGCTTATGTAGAATCAGTATTGAGGTATGGTATAATGTTATGGGGTCAGGCTACCGGAGTCAAATCAATATTCAGGCTACAAAAACGCATTATCCGTATTATGACCAACTCTCATCCACCTAGTTCATGCAAACACCTTTTTCAAAATTTAAAAATCCACACCCTAACAGGACTGTACATTTTAGAATCAATAAACTACTGTACATGCATTCAGCTAAAAACAACCTCCCAGAATCAATTCAAAACAACCATAGATATAATACTCGAAATGAAAACATTTTTAGATTTCTAAGGCACCGTCCGTTTAAGTGGTTTAACCCTTTATGGAAAAAGTCCGCTATATGCTGGGCCGAGGCTGTAGGCCTACAATGTGCTGCCTGCAGACTATAAATTGTTAAGTGAAAATAATCTTAATGATAAAATAGGTGAACTAAAATTGACAGAGCCTTTTATTTAATTGCAGATTTTCATAATACCCATTTAGTCTAGAATAGTTTTGTCATTCAATTTTGTTAATTTACATTATCTTCTTGATTACTATTTTATTTTTTATATTCTGATAATTTAACTCTGACAATGCACCAATACTATTCTGTATGTACCAACACATGTAAAGAATGTTATGTGCAAATAAAATATGTCTAAATGTCTAATGTAATATATAACAATTTGAACGAATAGTGTTTTTGGCCTCTGATGGGGACATCAAAATGGAGTAGTAAATCGGTCCCGGGCTCAAGTCTTACCATGAGACCTACGGTCATCATTGTATTGTAATAGTACTGCTCATAACAATACTACTCATAGTACTCATTAACAATAGTACTCATAATAATAGTACTGCTATTTTGTTTTAGGGAAATTCGCTAAAACACTTGCTCTATTCACACCAGCACTAACAAATTGATCATTCATAGCAATTATTGCTCCTGAATGGATTAAACTGCTGAAGAATAAAACCACAGACTGAGCAGTTTCATCTATGATATAAAACTCAGTGGAAAAGAGAGAATCAAATGCTAAAAGCTAAAAGTCATTCAGAGAAATTGTCCGTTTCTTTGTTCCTGCAATGGCCCAAATTAGTGGCAAGCCTTGGCTTCAAGGTCTGTCTGCCAAAACTACAGACTGCACAACTAGCTAAACAACTCAGACAATCATCATACATCATTGGACTACAATAAGACAACACAACACAGGTTAGGACATCTTCCATGATTATTTAAATTTAGTTTTAAAAAATACTGTAGATTTATCAATTAAATAAAAGTTTAAAATTCATTTTGAACACCACATATGACCATGAATAGAACTAAATAATTATTTATTTTATTTAAAAAAAATGTGAATCCACAAAAAATGTATACCGATTTAGCTGAAAAATTATTAATTTGGCCCCATGCTATTCAAAAGTGATTTTAATCAGTATTTTTGCTTGTTTGATAGACATTCCATTTAAGAGTTGTAGACATATTGTTTTACAGGGTGACAGATATAAATTACTGATTCTTGTTGTATGCTATAAATCAACTTTTAAACTAGCCAAATTGAATGATAAACTTGTGGTAAACCATAGCATCTTTTGGCGAATTTCCCCTATAGGGAATAAGCTATTACCGTAGTACTCATAGTAACACCTGGACCCGGGACCGATTTACTTTTTTGTTTTGAGGTCCCTAGAGACCAAAAACACCATCGGTTCAAATTCATATATATATATATATTTATATATGTGTCCGTTAGCGCGATAACTCGAGCAAAAATCATCCGATTTTGATGAAATTTGGTACAAATGTGTAAACCTACGTTTATTCGAACGAGTTTGCGAACCATAGCATGATCAGACTATGGGAACAGGGGTTTATGGGGGGTTTTAGGGGGAAAAATTGGGTTTTCCCATTTTTTCCCCTAAAAACTTAAAATTTAGCAATTTCTTTCCAAACCATTTTGTAGAGCTTAAAAAAACAAATAATTTAGTATATTGAAGCGTTAATATGCGCCTAATGGTTACAGAGAAAATTCCAAAAATCTGTAAATTTAAAATTCCCATGTTATTCTTATAGAGAATAAGTAAACTATTGTTGTTTGCTGGTTTATGAACATATTTTGATCAAATTTGGAAAATGCATTAATTTCATACTAAACTATTACATTTTACAAAAAAACACCTTTTTACCCTCCCTGTTTGCAGCAAACCTAGTACTCGTTAAACTAATGTTATTTAAATAGGGAATAAACGTGATATTTTTAAGGAGACATTTTAGTGTAAATCCAATCAGGCAAATGGAAATTCGCTTAGTCTGCAGGTTTGCTGCTGGGGGTATTTTATCATAAAATAATATTTAAAAAAATAAGAGAGAAAATATTATTTTGACAGTACTGTCGAAGCTTACTCTATGACTTGTTTGACAACTACTTATACAGCTTGTCCAAATAGATGAGAGATGTACTTCATTATCCAAAAGTTAACAGTGATACCAATACCGTAAATTGAATCACACTTTGTTTAACACACTCCCTACTGACCGGCACACTACTCTGTAACTGAGGGATGAGTATAGTTTGTAGCCAATGTGTTAAGCAATATTGATTTGGAATGTTTCACAATGGTCTATCTGTAGTCAAAGTTAGTATACTTTTGTAATAAATATCCATAGGTTGGAATTTCACAAAAACAAAACTTAAGGATTAAGCATTTATGGAGGAAATTATGTTTTATAACCAAAACTAAAGATAAACTCGTTACACCAGGTTTCTTATAACCGCTAGCTTTCTTATAAATCTGTTACTTCATATGGTGCAAAATTATTTTCAAATTTACAATTGCATTACTGAAGCCGCGTTTACACCAAAGTTGACAACCAGGTTTTCCACTATTTGCAGAAACTTGTTGCTTTTTCTACAAAATGCAGCAACTTTTTCTGTCGTCAACTAGTGGAGAGACAAGTTTTCCACTAAAATTTGGTTTTCCCGCGGAGAGTCGGTAAGATCAAAGAAAGTTTACAACAAAAAGTGGAAGACTAGTTGCTACGCGCTTTGCGCAAGCAACTTGTGGAAAACTAGTGGAGAACTATTCCCCTTCCATATTGTACACATATTGTAAATATTGTGTTTTATTGTAATCTATATATTAAAGGGTAAATGTTAGCTATTTTATATATAAATATCTTAATTAGGCCTAATAACTCTGGATGTGTACAGAGCTACAGACCACACCCGTGGTCTGATTTTGATGAAATTTGGTATGTAGGTACTAATCCATAATATCTCCAGGTGTTTTGAACTTTTTTGAAATTTTGATTTTTAATGGTGATTTTTCCATAAAAACTCATAAAAAGATGGAAAAATTAATTTTTTTTAAATGGGCGAAAAAATTTTGATTAAGATTTAGTATGTTGTAACCACCCTTTAAATTCTGAACAAAATAATAGAACTCCCATTCCTGTAAAAATTACGATTCAAAAGTTGTTGTAACTTTTGTTATCTTCATATAAAACCACATGAAAAAACAAAATGCCCCCGCCACAGCAAACCTGCAGACTAAGCAAATTTCCATTTGCCTGATTGGATTTACTGTACACTAAAATGTCACTTTAAAGTATCACATTTATTCTCTTTTTAAATAACATTAGTTTAACGAGTACTTAGGTTGGCTGCAACAGGGAGGGTAAAAAGGTGTTTTTTTGTTTTTTTTTAATGTTAAAAGTTTAGTATGGAATTAATGCATTTTCAAAATTTGATCAAAATATGATCATATATACTAGCAAACTACAACAGTTTACCGTTTTTGATTGAATTACTACCTTTGTAGTCCTTATAGTTCTAAGCAATATAGTGCAACACACCATTGCTGTACAAGTTACAATTCAAAAGTTAATGTGACTTTTGTAATTTTACCTAATAAATATCATAGTTGCATAGTTTACTAAATACCTACCTATTAAATATCATTATTACTCTAATCGCTTATCCATGATAATGGTTGTTGACAAGCTAATCAGAGATAGTATGTGTCAGATTGCTGATTCAATAATGTCTAAAGTGCACATTATTTTCTGTTTAGGAATGATTGCGTCTTCTTCGTCCGATGACATCCGGACACTACTGTTTAACTCAACTGATCATTTCGCGCCTATTCTTTTGGCAACAAGTTTTCCACTAGTTGCTCTAAATTAGTGAGGAGCAACATTCAGTTGTAAACTTTTGGTTGTCAACTTTGGTGTAAACGCAGCTTTACTGGTACTGTTTGCAGTGAAGTCATCCCATGTGAGTAATCTTTTAAACCATGCTGCTAACATCTCAAAGATGCAATGTCATTTCAAAACGGTTATAAAACAGGCTCACTTTTCTTATCAGTGGGTTATGATAATAACTCCAAGTTCATAACCTACATTTCCATCTGTTATTTGCTGACTAACTTGGCTGCAATTGTCAAGTTAGAGTTCATTTTAGAATTAATTTTGTAAACTTTTGAGAGCTGCCTTTGATTGATAAGCAATGTGGTAAGTAACACTTTGAAATATCAATACAGAATGGTTTATTGGTCATGACTTGATAAGTTATGGGTCTTGTGACTGGCTAAGGGGTAAGTACCGTTTTATGATATTTATTCTTATGTAAGTTTGCATATAATTTTATAGATCTTACTTACTACTAGTAAAATCATCATTCTAATAAAGGATAATCAGAAATAATATCAGCTAAAGACAATTTTAAAAGAACGGTATATTCTGTTTGGTAAGTGGATTGTGCTTTAGTCTTTTAGTCTTTTTTTAGTGTGCTTAGTCTTTTTTTTCTTTGAATCGTTTATTGCAGAAACCCCATAACCAACATTATTTCGCAGTTGTGTGATATCTTCACAAAACATTGTATTTCAATTTGCACACTGTTCGAATTGCAAATTTTTGTTTTTTGTCAAACGAACAAATTTTGTTTTTAAATATTTAGGTACATTTATGTACTAAAATTAAAAATCGAAAAAAGTTGGTTATGGTTTCTGCAATAAAAGATTCATTTAGGTCAACTATTTATACTAAATAATATAAAACTAATAGCAAATCTCTGCTCATCCTCTGATATTGTATTGAGTAAAGCACCGAATTGTAAAATGAACCCTAAAAAGAGAGAAACATTTAGTCAAAATCAGCCTAATCAAATGTTAACAACATAGAACCCATCAAAAACAGTTTCAGTCTAAGGTGCGGTACTTATAAGTCTACCGCCAAGTCAATGACTGTACCTGAGATATCTAATATCTGAGATATCACTGACCTGCTTACAGTGATAAGCATGGCTAGTGTAAGTGTTGTGATACTGTACAAGTGTTTGTGTGTCTATGGGCAAGAACACACTGAAAGCTTGGAGTGGAATGGTGTTTCAGATTACATTTTAGTCCTTATTTATATAAAGTTCTAATGAGTTTATTTTTTACTACAGGTAGTAACATTCCTTCTAAACAGTTTCATTTAAAATTATTATCTTTTGTGGCACTCAAAAATAAGCTTTAGGACGGGAAGGACCCTGTTGTAGGGTCTGAGAAGAACTCTTTAAAATGCTACAGTTTAGAGTGAATCTTGTAAGCTGTTTATGGGGACATTTTTTTACTATTTTGAATATCCTGAATCTTTCTTGAATATAACGATATCTCTACTCTGATTAAAATTACAAATTACGTTTAAGCTTAGCCTAAGTTGTTACAAAAACAAAAATAAAAAAAAATAGTATATTTTACTACTAGGGCGCAAACGCTGTAAAGTGACGTAAAGTGAAGAGGGAGGGGGGAGACACTTATTTACCAATTTGGTAAACTATAGGTAAACTTAAAGGTAGCCTCTCAAAATGACCAGGTTTTAAATTTTACTAATGGAAGAAGCAGCTGTTTATAGTTCAGTCACTTAGAAACCGACCTGAGCGCTAATGCTAACCAATGCTAGAGGTCGCTTTCTAAGCAGCTGAACTATAGTTAGTCATTCAATCATTTTGTCTATTATGATTGTGTGTACAATATCACATAATATCACAATAAAATAATATCACATACAATTTTAAATTTCTAACAAACATTGCAACCTAATGCCTACTGCCTGGTAACAGAAATAACAAAATGTAAACATAAAACATTCCTATACTGTCCATTATAAATTAGTGCAACAGCTGTGTTACTACTTTTGTCTCGCCGCCTTATATTAGAGGAGGCTATGACAATACTATGTAAAACTAACTATTGAAAAGACTGTAACAATTAGACAACCAATTAAAAAAAAAAACAATACATACTTAAATATAGCTTTTTAGTACAGTATTACAATAATAAGCAAACTTTGAAATTTAAACTTTATCTGTATAGATGCGTCCACACTTGACGAACAATGTTAGCTGAACAGTGTTCGCTAACATGTCGCTGTTCGCCAGAGAACGTTCGATGTTCGTTACGTGTGGACACATTGACCAACGTTCAGAGAGCGAGGGTGGGGGTAGCGTGTGTCGTCTTCATAAACTGTCTGTCACAACCGACGACGCCGTTGATAGCTGATAATGTAATATGCAACAGAAACAACAGTAAAAAAGAAAACCCTAAAAACTGAGCTTAGAGCGAACACCATATTTTGTCCGTCGAACAGCTTAAATAATGTTCAGTAAACGTTAAGTGAACGTTCAGCGAATGTTTTTTGCTAGTTAGGCGTACAAACGTTCATGATCATCGCGAACGTTCGCCAAGTGTGGACGCAGCTTTTCTCTTTTAGTTTTTGAATAGATAATAATAATAATAATAATAATAATAATATATCTTTATTGTCGTTTGGTAATATAAACATTACAATAGACAAGGTCAACATGTTTTGTTACATATGTTATATAAAATATTAAATATTCTACAGAAAATGTTAAAATAAAGTTAAAAGAAACTTAAAAGGATAAAGCATCAGTAATAATAAAAACTTTGAAATTAACAGGGAAAAGACCATAACACGAACAAAGAATCATCAAGACTGCTTGGCCTCACATAAGCGTTGAAAAATCTACATTCTGCAAAAACTCCTCAACCGAATAAAAAGCACGACTTGTAAGCCAATCTGATAAATTTTGACCTATACAAATGAATATTTTCCTGATTTCTAAAATATATTGGAAGTTTATTAAATAGTTTTATTTGCAAGTATTTATAACTTTTGATAAATTTTGATAGCCTGGCTTGAGGAATATATAAATCTTTTGATTGTCTGGTGATATACCCATGGATTGAGTTGCAAGGAACAAATTTATTCAGATTCTCTTTAACGGAAACTAAATTGTAAAAAATGAAAATATTAGAGAGTGTCATGATTTTATTTTCAGCAAAAAATGCTTTGCAACTAACCCTATCCGGAATTTCAAACATAATTCTGAGAGCCTTCTTTTGCCATGTAAAGACCCGGTGAGCTCCTGAGCTATTACCCCACAGTATATTTTTTTTTTTTTTTTTTTTTTGTCCTAGGACGCTAGGCACGAGCCTGGGATTGTTTTTCACATTACTTCAGGCTAGACCTAGGGGTTGCGGCACTATCACTTAGATAAAATCCATTGGTGACTTGGCGGGGATCGAACCCGGGACCTCACGGGCCGAAGTCCCGCGCTCTAGCCACTACGCCAGCTCGCTCCCCACCCCACAGTATATTGCCATACAGCAAGTGTGAGTGAAATAAACTGTGATAAACAATTAGAAGTGTTGGTTTAGAAACACAATTTTTAAGTTTTCTTATCAAACAACATACTCTTGACAATTTTGAAATGATATTATTGGTTTGTATTTCCCAAGTGAGTTTAGAGTCTATGGATATTCCGAGTAATTTGACAGAAACTGCATTGTCTGCTTCAAGATTACGCAAAGTAAAACAAATTTTTTCTGTTTTATCATGATTTATTTCCAGAAAATTACTTTCAAACCATAGCTTACCCAATTCAATGGCGTTTTCTATGCTTTGGTTTGCAGAGTAAAAGTTGTCAGCTGATGAGATGAAGGTTGTGTCGTCAGCATATAAAATTGTTTTGCAAGGTATGGAGTTTGGCAAATCATTAATATAGAGAATAAACAAAACCGGACCCAGTACCGACCCTTGAGGAACCCCAGCAAGGACCTCCTTAAAATCTGACCTATCTTTTCCCAAATTAACAAATTGTAGTCTTCCACAGAGGCATGATTTAAAAAAAATTAGTTCGTGCTCCATTATTCCATAAAATTCTAATTTCTGCAAAAGAATTGTATGTAAGACCGAATCGAAGGCCTTACTGAGGTCTACAAGTGCCACACTAAGATAACCACCAGATTCAAAACCATCCAAAATATCAGACACCACCGATTCTATAGCCAAAGTAGTTGAACGACCCGGTCTGAAACCAAATTGGTTATTGTTTAAAATATTATTTAAGTTAAGAAAATCAAAGATCTGGGCTTTAGCACAGGATTCAACTATTTTTGATACCACTGGAACCATTGAAATTGGTATTATAATGATAGCTAAACACTTGTTTTCCCCATATTAAATGAAAGTGAATTTTTTGCAATGGCGTTCATATTAGACATTGTGACAAATAATGTCTGGACAACAGGATTTTTGCACATCCTATTCAAAAAAACATTGAAAATATTTTTACTATATTTCTTGGGGGAGGGGGTTGTAGTAAATTAGCTAATTAAATAAAGAAGCAAAGTATTTAAGAACTAGATATTTAAAGTTCAAGGATGTACAACAATCTAAATATTATTCAGGGTAACCTGGCAGGAATTACTGACAATGGTTGTTTATGTGAAGTTAAAAATTTTTTAATGGTTTAGTCCTTAAAATTTCTAAATTAAGACCCAGCTGTCCTTGATCATTGGCTTTCTAATAAATTACTAGTAAAAACGTTGCTTGAAATCGAGCAATCTATATATAATTAATAGGGGATGCGGAATTCTATCCCCCGGAAAACTACCCCCCCAGGTGAAACGTGACGTCACAAAATCTGCTAACTAACCAATATGGAAGCCGTGTCCGCGACTGGAATACTACCCCCCCTAGACAAATCATGGTATGTAATTTTAATTCAAGTAATTCCGTTGGATAATAGAAAAAGCATGTGGTGAATATAAAACAGATTTTCAAAATGTTACGGCAAGTTTGGTTGGTTAGGTTAGGCTAGAATAGAACTGTTTGACAACTAAATTTGAGTGTCCGTGACTGGAAAACTGCCCCCCCGGTCTCTGACGTCAATATGACGTAGGAACCTGCTTGGGGTGGTAGTTTTCCGGGGGGCAGTCTTCCGGCGACCCAATTAATATTGCAAAGAAGTTAAGTAGTTATTTAAAAACAAATAAAAGTCATCATAATTTCCAATGAGTTTAAAAGACTTTGAATTGAAAAAAAATTTATAAATAAAAAACTTTTTAAACAAAACGTTTTTAAACGCTCTAAAAAGTAGAAAATAATTTACAAATAATTTATAACTATGTTGAGAGAGTATAAATACTTGTACGATTTAAAACGAAAAACGTGGGGTGCATGCAATAGATAGTTTACCTTCACCTACTGAACTAATGTATTATTATCAATTACAGTAATTGCATGCACCCAACGTTTTTCGTTTTAAATCGTACAAGTATTTATATTCTCTCAACATAGTTATAAATTATTTGTAAATTATTTTCTACTTTTTAGAGCGTTTAAAAACGTTTTGTTTAAAAAGTTTTTTATTTATAAATTATTTTATACTTTTAGTTTTAATGTGTGTGCATGTTAAATCTATTTCAAGTATCTATATCAGATTAAGACAGAGGCATGTGGGAAATCTAAGGTTTATTTGAGTTTCTTTGCATATAATTATGTATTAGATTGCATGTATGGCCTACCTACTAACTATAAATATATCAATCTATTTAATCGCAATGTTTCTGAAATATAGTACAAAGAAATGTTATTCATAAATATCTAATATATAAAATTCTCGTGTCACAGTGTTTGTCTGCAAACTCCTCCGGAACGACTTCACCGATCGTTATGAAATTTGGTGTGTAAATTCTGTAGGTATGCGAATCGGACGTAAACTATTTCCCGTTTCGAAATTCTTAAAAGGGCTCCGCCCCAGTGGCTCTGGAGTTTCCCATGTTAACCTTATGAGAAATGAAATTAATGAATCTTAACAGCTGTTTCAATTAAACAAGTTGGTTCTGTTCTATGATGTTCAATAACATTAAAGTTACAAGGATTACCAACAGGGTGCAGCACTATTATTTCTTTTACATTTATGACAACAGCTAATTTGCAACCAAAAGGTGAGTGAGCGTAGCGAACGAACTTCAACCTGGAGGCGAGTTAGCGTAGCGAACAAGCTAACCTGAAGGCAAGTGAGCGCAGCGAACGAGCTCCAACCTAAAGGTGAGTGAGCGTAGCGAACTAGCTCCAACCCAAAGGTGAGTGAGCGTAGCGAACGAACTTCAACCAGGACGTGATTGAGCGATGCGAACGAGATCATCTTGAAAATTAAACGTAACGGTACTTTCTTTCCATCGGTGTCTTAGGGGAAACCTATAACCATAGATGAAGTAATATAAATAATATTACTATAAGTAATATGGTGTTTATTTATTCTATGCTATAACTTAGGCGATACGAAGTTCGCCGGGTCAGCTAGTATTTGATAAAATTGTTACTTGAAATTAAAGCTATACCGTACTTATTGGTTATTAGTTTTAAATATGCTCAGTTATGATGCTGGATGATCTAGTTTTCGCATTCTCTCCATCTCCTTCATTGCATCTTCATTGCATGGTGTCTTTCCAGTGAGTTTTGAGCAGTCAAGTTCCTCTATTCTTATGCCATCTAATGATCTGACACGACTTATTTATTGTTTACTTTATAGAATACTAAATAAACAAAAATTGACATTATTTACAAACACCTTGATACCTGCAATCAGATTGTTTATCTTTATTTTGAAATGTTTGTTTGTATAAAGAATCTCTTGGGAGCATAACCTGTACCTCTTAACCTCTGCTCTTCGAACTGTCAAATTTAAGTATTTACAGCTGACTTAAATTAGTTGATATATTTACATCCTTTCAAAATGTAAACATGAAAAATTTGGAAGCCCATGGGGCGTAACCCAAGGGAAATATGAAAATTAAATGATATAATATTGCATTGTCATGCATTTGTGAGCTATGTTTCAAATTTAAAGTCTCTAGCTTATCGGGAACATCGTTTAAGATTGATAACAAAATTTGTAGGAAAGCGAGCTAATAAAAACAAGCCCATGGGGCGTAGCCCGAAAGGAAATATGAAAATTAAATGATATAATATTGCAATGTCATCCATTTGTGAGCTATGTTTCTAATTTCAAGTCTCTAGCTCATCGGGAAGTATCAAAATTTGCAAGAAATCGATTTAATAAAAACAAGCCCATGGGGCGTAGCCCAAGGGAAATATGAAAATTAAATTGTATAATATTGCATTGTCTTCCATTTGTGAGATATGTTTCAAGTTTCAAGTCCCTAGCTCATCGGGAAGTTAGTATAAAATCGGTTGCAAAATTTGTAGCGGACAAGAAAGCGACCTAATAAAAACGTTTTAATAAATAACAGCAATTAAATTATACAGCTGATCAAAATATAAACAATTATGTTCTTCATGAGGATAACATGGGAACTTTAACAGCCACTGGGGCAGAGCCCAAGGGACTTTTTCAGAAATGTAAGGTCAGTTTGCAAACCTACGCGACACGCTCTTTCCAATGAGATGCCAATGGATAAAATCGGTTAAGAAATGGCGGAGGAGTTCAACCGATAAAGTTTCATGTAATGTATTAATTATATAGATTCCAATATTTATGAAATCCAACATAAGACTTGAAAGAGAAAAGTCTGTAAACAGAGTTTGATTCTTCAGATAATGGAGGACTTGCAACCCGGTTGGTTGGATGAAGGGTTTATCAAGCAAGTATTGAGATCAGTTGAAAACATCGGTGAAGACCACATCTCTGTGTCCAAGTGGAAATGTAACCCTGCAGTTCCTCCTGGCAGCAACTACCTCAGCCTGTTGTATCGTCTGTCTGTTGACTACGAGATAGAGAATGACCAAAGGTATGGAAAAACCAAAATAGGATGTTTGGGCATTTTTAAGATTTATTTATACAGTAATATCCACATTTAGTAATCACTATTACACATTTTTTAATATTGAGCTGGCCTATGTGTAAACAAGTTCCTAACAAAAGTATGTGTGTTACGCTTATGTTAGTTTGCATCACTCTACATTTTATTTGTATAACCAAATTATGCTGTAAGAATGCACCATAAGCTTTCTCTCCCTATAGCATACAACTACAGTACCTACACACATGGATACTACACAGCTGGATATTCCATAATGTTCATCTATTGTATACTTTTGTTTGTAAAATCAGGATAAAAATTCCTGATCTCTTGCTAGATACAAATTCATTTTGTACTATGATTTTTCTTCGAGTTACAGGTTGTTAGCGTTAAGCAGAGTTTGAGTTACAGAGGTCATTACTGTACAATAACAACTAGCCTATCCAATTACACTAATTTTGAATCCGACTAACAGAGATGAAGTTTACTTTAATTCCCCAAAATATTCTATAAAACCAAACTATGCACACTTGATTTTTGAAAGCAAAGCCGTGTTTACACAAGGCCAGTAAAGTGCTGATTTCCTTGCTCAGCTACAGTCACTTGAAATACACTGAGGCAGGTAACCTGGCCTCACTGGCCAGGCCAGTCCTACTGGCCTCATTTGTGTGAACCGGGCTAAAACGCAAATTGAATCCAATTTTTAAAACAGTGTTAACTCAATTTTATGTATTTACATTTATTTTTAGCTAATCAAGATATTCAAACCTACAAGATATTGAAAACTATTCAGGATCTCAAAGAATTACATTTATTCAGGATTGATTTGGTATTCTTTTGAATTCTATAGAGGTAAAGTACTAAAACTGTAAAACTGTTTCAAGTTATGAATGGTTATTTTTTTAAATTTAATCAGGTTTCCTAAGGTAATTAAAATTTATTTGAGATATCGAAGATTTTTATTTTGGGAGATCAATATTTAAGTTAGCGAGGGTCAAGAAAAATCAATTAAAATTGTAAAATAAATTATTTGTTTTTTTTTAACAGATCTATTTCTCTCATTGTCAAAACCCCTCTGGAGTCAGGCCAGGTGAAAGAATGGCTGGAGAAATCTGATGGCTATGGCAAAGAGCTGAGGATGTACCGAGACGTACTCCCCAGAATGTATGAGATTAGTTGGTCCATCGTAGTGACGGCTCGCTCCTACCCATGTAACCTTCACAACTCCTTGGTGCTTGAAGACCTGACGGTACTCGGCTATAAAATGGCTGACAGGTAAGAACCATTGGCTGAATGATTTTTATATTTTAAAACCGTTTGTGTTAACAAATTTTTATTATATGGTTGAAATTTTGCATGCAGATGCAAGCATTACTGAAACTAGTTGCACTGCCTGTGCTTCACAACGGGTTGAGAACACAGAGGAGTATAATGTGGTTCTTTAAATAAAAGTTACTCCCACCATCGATTATAGAGACAAAACTCAATCTTACTTCTTGCTTACATTTTTAGTGATCTCTTCAGTGTATGTATATTCAAACAGCTGTATGGAAGAATAAAAACTATCGTAATGTAAACATAGCTAATCTATAAAAATCATTATCATCATCATCTATAAGAATCTCAAGAGATAGAAGTTGATGAGGGTTGACAGTTTGTTGTCACATAGGTTCTTTTAAGGTTGTGGATCCGATGGGGGGTTGTAGTTACTTGCTATCTAATGGAGTCATAAAATACTTGCCTTGTTATCTAAAAGTCGTATGATTGATCTTGAGAAAAGTCTTTAAAGTTTGATTCTAAACCCTCTTGCCATTTTGCTGGTGGGTTATTATTATATTGTTTTCTAACAAAAGTTTAACTTCAGAAAGTAACAAAACAGAGTTTGAATTATTATTTTTCTAAATGTAAATGCATAAATAATGTATGATATTTGAGAAATGTGTTTAACAATCTTAAGGATAAAATCTTGCTGAAATGAAATCAAACTCACATTTTTGACAACCCACTGGAACCCCTAGCTATTATACAACTATTTTCTGAATGGCAATTCCCTCAAATGTTTCAATAAAACACTATACGGTTAGTTCTTTTATTTGTATTAATAGTATACCACAATCAGGTTTTTTGAGGGTTGAAGCCTCTCTTCATTTACACCAATTATTTTTTTTATGTTAGCATAAGTGATTAATTGTAAACTTATAAACAACCTACTGAATTAATCTCATTTCCTCTTTTTTCTTTTCAGGCTGAAACAACTAGATTTTGCCCACTGCAGGCAATTTTTTATAAGTTTAGCGACATTTCACGGACTCTCAATAGCACTTTACCAGAAGAACCCCGAGCTGATACAGAGTATAGGAAAGAGCTCATGGTTCAGCGACGATGGACCTGAAGAAGACATAAAAGAGCAAGAAAAGTTCACAAAATTTAACATTGCCACGATGATGAAGACAGTAAAGTCTATTGGCTTAGACAGATACGCTGAGATTATCCAGGGTAAGTTGGACACTTTCTACAGTACGATGCAACAAATTTTTAAACCTCAAGGTGAACTGAGAGTCCTCTGTCACGGAGATTGTTGGACCACCAACTTCCTATTTAAGTACGAGTCAGGCAAAGTCGTAGATTCAAAACTCATAGATTTCCAGATTATTCGTACTGGAAGCTTCGCACAAGATATTCATTACTTCTGGTGGACTAGTGTGAAACAAGAAGTTCAAGAAAACTCACAAGAGGAATTGTTTGAGGTTTATCGGGAAACGCTCAACCAGACGTTGGAGAAGGCACAAGTATCAGAAAGAATTTCAAAAGATGAGTTTGACAAGGAGATAAAACGTTATTCCCCGTACGGTTTCTTTGTTTGCAGCTCGATTTTGTCAGTAGCCATGGCTGACCCGGATAACTTAGCTGACTTTAATGAAATGGGTGAAAACGAGTTTGATAAACCTGTCAATGATGAAGATTCTCCTTTCTCAAAGAATTTCCGTAGCAAATATTACAAAGCAAGATTACCTGCTTTGTTGAAACTTTTAGAAACATTTGGAGCATTGGATTGATAAATAATGACTTAGAAAGATATAAAAGCATGATAATGATTTTAGAGAAATAGATGATCAAATAGTGATTTAGTTGCTTCAAGCTATGAAAGATATGAAAAACCTTCCTGTCCAGTTGATGATTGGAAAATCTTCTACTGCATCCCATGGCACGTAATTTTAATAAGATCAGTGATTCTTAAATCAAGGTTCCAAAAAAGCTTCCATTATCACAACAAAGCAAGCTAGTTGGGACTGATCGCCTTCAAATGGAAATTGAATCACAGAAACTTGGCGAGGAGCCAATATTCCCCTCCACTGATATCGACTTGTTCACCAATTTCATATTCAACATAGCCACCGAGAGACAACTGCATAGGCTAGTTGTGGAGATAGTAAAATGCATGGTGCTGGGGTCAGATTTAAACGTTAATTAATAGACAACCCTCAAAATTTAAATTCTTAAACAATCTTCAGTTGAACTGAATATTTTCAAAATTATTTTTACATGCTATTACATGTATTTGGCAATTATAAAAAACCAATTTCTGATATCTGATAATTATATTGTTATAGAATGTTTTAAAAAATATCTGCATTAACCTATCCCCCCCCCCCATCAGCCTAACCATGGAGTCAACCCCACCTTAAAAAAAAAAAAACATAACTTCACATTAAAAATGGACTTTCAATCTTACAATTTATGTTTTTTAGATAGAATAGATCATCTAACTTAAAAAAAAAACTTTTTGTAAACTTTCATATTGAAACTAATTTGTAAATCCCATGATGCTTTAATTGTTTAGAAGTAAGTTAGTGTTTGGTTGTAAACATGTCACAGAAGTTAAGTCGTTGTTTTAGTCTCTGACCTCTGGAAGGCATCAACTGTCCATATCCAAATTTGCCAAACTCATCTTGATATTCACTACGTCCCATGTAGTAGTATGCAGGCCTGCTGTACCCCAACACTGCAAGGATTATAATTTTTGATTGACACTTTTCTCACAAATATCATTAAAATAGTTTGAAATCATTATATTATTTTTTAATGAATTTTTAAAGATATTTTTGGAGGGTTATGGTCAAGTTTGGTTTATGGATCTAAAAAACATTGTGTACCGGGCTCTGATCTGTATAGCTGATTTTACACATATTTTGTGAAAGATCTGATCCGATGACTTTGGGGAGTCCAATCGATATTTCTAAACATCTATCTATAGCATCTTCATCTTCAATGTACAGTATATACCACCTTGTATTATCAATAACAGTATTAAAAACAAATATATTTCCAAGGGCTTAGCTAAATACATCATTTGCGATTTCCATAACTACAGTAATTATATAGCTATTATGGAAAACATTATGTGGTCTATGACCCCAACTATCGATTCAAAACCTATTATCTTTATTATCCAGTTTTTAAAACCTTTGGTTTGGTTTATGATATAGATTAGATTAGGATTATGTTTGTATGATGCTGACATACAAGTGGATATTTGGCAAAGGTGAGTGAAGGATGAGTTTTGAATGGATGAGATGTTAGATTTGTTATTAAAATCAGCTGTTTCTTAAGGCAGTACCATTTATTAAAAGCCCAAAAATCGAGGACATCTGGAACCAATTTCGAGCCATCAAAAAGATACCAACTGGCGACTATTCAGAATTAAACCATTAAACTATAAACAAAATATTTACCTTAAAGCTAAAAAATTTATAAAAGAAAACATACAATAACTTACCTCTTCGAGAAGTTGGTATTGGGAGAAGAGTTTTTTGAGATTTAGGAGAGTAGAGTTTATCAGCAGTGGAAAGCAGGGTATCCTCATCATCCTCACTTTGGGAATTTATTTCCTTCTTTGCTGGAAAATTAAATGACTAGAACCTTTACAAACATATACAGCTATTTTTGGATCATTCTTTTAAATGTATTGAAAAATTTAAACGCAATTGAATATTTTGTGTTATGAAGTAATTCTTTTATCTGTTTGGAAGTTGATCAAGCACAAATTTGTTGCTGGGGTGGCTTAAGAGTTTTTGTGAGCAACATGAAAGAAGAAAGCAAGAGAAACACAATCCAAACATGCTAAATCTAATTAATTTATTATCATAAGTCTTTAAGCAAAGAGAGTTCTCCAATACAAGAAAAGTTCTCCTTGCGTGTAGGTGTGAGATTCCTATTCTATGTTTTGTGTTTAAAGATAGGTGGATGTAAGTCAAAGGTGGATTTCAAACCACTCAATGGCGGCATTAGAACATTGCTCTATATAGTTCAGGCGCATATGTAATAAAATAAAGCTTTGTGTGTTTTTTTTTTTTTTTTTTTTTTTTTTTGTTAAAGGCAAAAACTATATACCCCCGCCGCAGCAAACCTGCAGACTAAGCGAATTTCCATTTGCCTGATTGGATTTAGACTAAAATGTATCCTTAAAAATATCACATTTATTCCCTATTTAAATAGAATCAGTTTAACACATACTTAGGTTTGCTGCAACAGGGAGGGTAAAAGTGTTTTTTTTATGTAAAATGTTAATAGTTGGTAAGAAATAAAAACATTTTCCAAATTTGGGCAAAATATGTTAATAAACAAGCACACTACAACGGTTTACTTATTCTCCATAAGAATAACATGGGAATTTTCAATTAACAATTTTTTGGAATTTTATCCGTAACCATTAGGCGCATTATAACGCTACAATATACCAAATTATTTGTTTTTTTAAGCTCTACAAAATAGTTTGGAAAGAAATTTCAAAATTTTATGTTTTTTGGGTCAAAAATAGGAAAAACCCATTTTTACCCCATAAAAGCCCCCATAAACCCCTGTTCCCATGGTCCGATCATGCTGGTTCGCGACAAAAAAACTTGCTGTACCATTTAAAAATTCCGTTTGGGTTGAATTTAAAACACGGAATTTTTTAATGTTACAGCAGTTTGGTTAGTTATGTTAGGTTATTTTTTTAGAACAGTTTCATTTCATTAATGTTTGTTGATACTGAACAATATTTATCGTAGTTATCAGCTGATATGTTTCAATATTTGTTAATATTGACGAGCTGGTGGCCCGTCCTACGTACGGGAATCGAGTTGTCAACTAAAACGGAATAATTCAGAACATCTAGTTTACACGCATAGACACAAATTCAGGCAGTTTTAATGGGGAAGATCACCTTATAAACAAATGTATCGTGACCACCTATTTATTCCATTCGAATATAGACCTAAAATATGGCGATATGCATTTTAAATCCGATAATTTTACCATAAAACAGCATTTGTGTCGATTTGAAAAATCTTGAAGTGAGATTGGCGACCGATTCACACTGGTTTTGAGTAGAGTAGTTACATGCCACCTCCAATTGCATACTGTACTACTTATGTACTCACCGTACCTTATCTTACCTCCGTGACCACTGAAACTTTTATGAGGATTCTCTTCATTCACCTGCCTCTTCAAAATTTAGATCCCAGTCTGAGGATGCATTTCATAACTTGATATTTCCTGTCTATCGTGTGGTACTCCTTGGAATATACTTTTTAAAAGTTTATGCACAGCCTGTCCATCCAAGCTTTACCTACTTTTGGAAAGCATCCCTATATTTGGGTGTTAACACATTTCTCTTAGCTCTCTGATCTTTTTTATTTCGACCTCCTAGTTATCTTGAACTGTATATTTTTTCTGCACTTTATTATCTAACTCAGCATTAAGGTTTTTCGGTTCTTTGGTCAGTGCCCAAGTTTCTGAATCATCAGCACTACGGGGATAGTTGGTATGGTATGAGTCAACTTTGGTTTCTGCTGCACCCTGCAGTTTATTTGACAGTTTTATAGAGACCTACTACACCGATTGACGCTTTCATTACTAACCAAAATTTTAGTATGCCGACATACTCACATTCAAACATACAGAAAAAGAGGTATCAACACGTAAACCACTTATATCTTAAACAATTAAGCGATAAACTGCCGAAAAAATATTTCCCAAATATGAGTTGAAATTTGCAATGCATAAACTAAATACTTACACAGATTGCATTTATGACAAAACTTGACTAAACGCAAGTGTTTGAGATGTTTAGTTCAAGATAACACATTTCCTGATAACGCATATCCTTCACGGTAGGGGAAAACTACCTACATTTTAAAGTGAAACAGTTAGTAGGTATGTAGAAAAACACCAACGAACAATATTTTTGTAAACAAACAACTCGTAACATAAACATTTCAATGACAGTTATAAACCAGCTGTTAGTTAAACCAGCATTGAAAATCCTTCAAATTGCTAGCGTCGGCTGCTAGACTTTTTAAAAATTAAAACTTAATTTCTAAAAAACTGAAACCCTAAACTAAAATTATGGCTTCGACATTCCTTAGTTCTCAAAATTATCTTTCTTTCAACACAAAAATCATGAAAATCCGTCAAGTGGTTGATTCAGAATCGTGAAATAAAAAAACCCTGTTTCGTTTTAATATTATAGATATATCGAGAAAAAATCATCGTTAATAATGAATGTTCCCTTTAATAGGAAAGTACCACTTTTTGTATACTATATAAAATTTGGAAATTAAAGGTGATTAAATTTCCTACAAAAAAAGTATATGATGTAACTATTTCGGTTCTACCATTTACAAGATATAATAAATATGTTATTCAAATACTCCTTCCATATTCTATGTTCTATGTCCTGTCATGTTCTATGTTAAATGAGGTATAACAATCGAAAAAAAACCCAAAATACAATATTTTCTACCTTAATTACTACTACTACGGCTATATTGGCCGTACTGAAAATTTTGCATCTCCGACAAGAGGTCCCTTTTCGCTTTCCCCATCACATATAATAAGTTTTTGCATTAAAAAAAACCCCCCGCCACAGCAAACCTGCAGACTAAGCGAATTTCAACTTGTCTGATTACATTTTTACTAAAATACTAGCTGACCCGGCGAACTTCGTATCGCCTAAGTTATAGGTTTCCCCTAAGACAGACCGATGGAAAGAAAGTACCGTTACGTTTAATTTTCAAGATGATCTCGTTCGCATCGCTCAATCACGTCCTGGTTGAAGTTCGTTCGCTACGCTCACTCACCTTTGGGTTGGAGCTCGTTCGCTACGCTCACTCACCTTTAGGTTGGAGCTCGTTCGCTGCGCTCACTTGCCTTCAGGTTAGCTCGTTCGCTACGCTAACTCGCCTCCAGGTTGAAGTTCGTTCGCTACGCTCACTCACCTTTGGGTTGGAGCTCGTTCGCTACGCTCACTCACCTTTAGGTTGGAGCTCGTTCGCTGCGCTCACTTGCCTTCAGGTTAGCTCGTTCGCTACGCTAACTCGCCTCCAGGTTGAAGTTCGTTCGCTACGCTCACTCACCTTTGGGTTGGAGCTCGTTCGCTACGCTCACTCACCTTTAGGTTGGAGCTTGTTCGCTGCGCTCACTTGCCTTCAGGTTAGCTCGTTCGCTACGCTAACTCGCCTCCAGGTTGAAGTTCGTTCGCTACGCTCACTCACCTTTTGGTTGCAAATTAGCTGTTGTCATAAATGTAAAAGAAATAATAGTGCTGCACCCTGTTGGTAATCCTTGTAACTTTAATGCTATTGAACATCATAGAACAGAACCAACTTGTTTAATTGAAACAGCTGTTAAGATTCATTAATTCCATTTCTCATAAGGTTAACATGGGAAACTCCAGAGCCACTGGGGCGGAGCCC